GTTATTTAAGGAATGCATGTTTGGTAACCTTGATTTTGAAGAGTTTGAATCAAAGTAAATTGTAGGTATTACAAAGTGTGATTTAGTAAATAATGTTTGGGTTCATGAATTGTATAATAACAAGATGTGACATACTGTTTATATAAGGGGCAATATATTTTGTTGGGTTAAGGAGAACCTCAAGATATAAGGGTCCACATTCCCAAATTGGTAAGTATACATAGTCATAAAATAACTTGAGAAAATTTATAAAATTTTTTAATTAATGCACTAAAAATATACATAACAATGAATATGTACTGAATTTCAAGTCATGTTACATTGATCTAATGTCAATGACTCATGTAGTTGAGCTGAAAAAGTTTACAACAATTGCGTATATTAGAAATGTTTTAAAATTTTTTGTCACATGTTATTGAAGTCATTATTTGTGAGAGTGGTTGATATTGTTAAATATATTTTATCAAGATATTGTTAAATATTTTTGGTTTGGCTTGTCCTTATTGAATTAGAGTGTTAGCGTTGCTATCATTTGAGTACCTGTCAAGTTTTGTTAAGTAGATGGAAAAAATGATAAATGTAGACTATGAACAAGGTAAAAATCCTATTATAACAAATAGTGATGAAATGTCATTAAGAAGGAATTGGCATGCTTTATTATCTTATAGTGTAAGGTTGCTATTTTTGTTTGCTTATCAAAGTTATAATGATTTTTATAAAATTAAACAACTCCCAACTATTGGGAAGCAACAAGTTAAAAGAAAATATACAAATAAAAATGTACTGAAGGCTAAGAACGATTGACGAAGTGGTGGAATTAATGTTACCAAACCTATAATCAATACAATTAATGGGGTCGATATGGATAGTTATGTTGTAGAAAAGAAAAAAAAAAAGCATGTGAAATAATGTAGTGGTTATAAACATGTGGGTCATAGTAATCAAATTTATCAATATATTATTAATATAAGTCGATCATTGAAAATGGAGAATTATTATAATTTTTTTGAAGTAACATGTCTTATGAAAAAACTTATAAAGATAAAATCATGGTATGAGTATCTGATATACTTTATATAATATAATATGTAAAATTAATAATTATAAATATTCTAACAATGAAGAAGAATTATAACATTTAATTTATTTTTCCTTGCAGGAGCGTGTTTAAAGAGCATTGATAGTGGAAGAAGATAAAGTTAAGTCAACAAACTATAATTTTTTCGAATCATATGTGATTGTGTTACATAGAAAGTGTTGTTTTTTTGTGTATTATCCAGAACTTGGTATATTTTTTATCATTAATGTTTTGTTGATTTTATCATAAGATTACTTTTGGAATAGAATATGTTCTAAACATAAGCACATTTATATATTATTTTTGGAAACAGATGAAAGTCAAATAATTAGATGTTTGTTACATTATGTTATATATACTGTGATTTATAACCATTATTTAAATTTATAACAAAATATGTAAACATAATCTATATCAAAGAATTAAACACTAACTTGTCCCTGATTGACTGATTCTGAGTTATAAAAATATAAATCATAGCACAGTACATATAGCAGAAAATTAAAAGATTAACATTTCATGAGATTTCAACGTTATAAAATGAATATATTTTTACAAAAGAAACAAATAATTAAATGCATAAAGAAATTATGATTATGTTTACATACAATAAAGCAATATGGTGCATAATAAAAAAATATACACTACATATTCTAGTAATGATATATTGCATCCATAGATGTCCAAATAAGAAAATTAGTTCTTGCAAACCATAATCAGAAAATCAAGGTTATTTCAAACCAACATAGTTGAAAGACACAAAAAAAAAAACACACACAAGTTCATTAAAATTTCTTAGCAATTTTGTTCCCCATCTGAAAAACTTCACCACATCTCTTTAAAAACTTGACAAAATTAATTTCTATTTGGATCTTTAAAATCAATGTTTTGATTAGCTATTTGCATACACCAAATTCTATAAAAAGGCTTCTTCAATAATCATATCATTCTATTAAAAATATATAAAAATTATATTAACTACATGCGCAACATGCAAAACTAATAAAATATGTGAATATATAAAAATAATAATTTTTTTGATCTAATACGGAGCCACCACATAAAAAGTATAAACAAATATATTATTATTATTATTATAAGTAGAAGATGCAAAACAAATTAAATGTTAATGGAGTAATATATTTTTACTACAAACCATAAATGGAAAATAAATAAAAATCTCCACACACTATCGATTATATGTTAACTAAAATGCATATATAGTAATGGGAAATAAAAACCAACCCTTGGAAAATAAAATATGACTAACGAGAACAATGTAAATATTTTCTGTATTTACAACACTATATTATGACTTATATCGTTAGCCTAATACACTAAATTGTTTATGAATGTTCAGATATTGGATTTAGAAATAACGAACAAAATTTAAGAAGAGAGAAATATCCCATTGTATGTAACATTGCATTTAAAATGGTCGATTATGAGTTTTCAGATGTAAAAGTTTTGCTATCCACACCGTTTGATCTATCTAATAATTTTATTTATGTCCCAAAATTTCTATACACACCCCTGCAATCCCATCATAAGATTCAACACTTTCTGTAATCCAAAAAGTTAGAGATGCAAAAAGTAAAATATAGTCCAAACTTAGTCCATTTTGCGACTATTTATTTTATAATTAAAAAATTAATTGTCACAATTATATTTGTAATAACTTAAAATAATTTTAATCAACGTTAAAATAAATAAGCTCTTAATTAAATATTCAGAATGAATTGATTTATATATAACAGTAAATATTGATTATTAGATTTTATTTAACTGAGTAAGATTTAAAAAAACATCATTATCTATTGACAGTTTTCTTATTTTTAAAAATAATTATTATTCTCATTGAATATATATTTTTGTGTGTGTAAAGGAATATATTCTATGCAAAACTCATTTTCATACGATAATAAAATGAGTAACTTTGAGTGGTGTAATTATATATAAATAGTTAAAATTAAAGATTAATTAAAGATAATTTTAAAAATCATGTGATTTTCTTAAAATAACATATGGATTGAATTTACTTTTAATACACTGTTAGTGTAAAAAAAAGTATTTTATCAATTAAAATACATAATTTATATCATTTTAAATTAATTATAAAAAATAATTAGTATAACAATTTATGATTAGATAATAATATAAAAAAATTATACTATGAATACATATCATTTAAATTATTATTCTTTATAATAAAATTTAATAATTAAAAATTTAGTTATCTTACTTATACGTAAAAATATTTTTTTTTATTCAATATGGTCCCTTAATAAGTATCTATTTAAGTGAAAAAAAATATTAGTTTATTCTTAAAATATTACTTAGCATATACTCAAATTGCGTCATTTTAAGGTAATTCATACCCCAGCAGTATTTGGTCACATGTGATTTCCAAATTTCTAAAAGTTGGACCAAATCGCGTGTCTTTCTTTGATGATATGACTTTCTTACCCTTTGGTGTTGACCTTAAATCATTGGGTGCATTGTTACCTAAAATAGAAGACATGTATCCAACTCTTGATTTAAGCTATATTTGAGATGAAGGCATTAATAAGTGACATTTGTTATTAATATAAGATTCTTTCAAATTATGTTTAATATAAGCTATTATATAACGTCGACTACATGAATCGGTTATTGTGTTAAATATTTGGAAGAATTATATATGTGTGTGAAATTAATTTTGTATCAGATTTTATATTTATATATAATTTGATAGTTTAATATAAAACTTGTTTAATTAATTTCATTATTAAATAATAACTATACATTCTATTAATTATTATATTAAATCTTATAAAAATTAAGCAATAAAAATGTGATTAATGTGTGTGTGTGTGTTAAATTTTACGTTTGTGCCAAATTCAAACTTATTAGATTTAGTGAGAGATTCGTAGATTATTAATAAAACGATTTTCTTATGAAATAAAATAATTTTAAAACTTTTAAAAATTAAAATTTCAAAACGTTGATATATATATTTGATTATTTTTAATAAAAAATTAAGTTAATTAAATAGTGTTTTCAAAATACATTTTATTTATATTTATATTATACTTATATATAAAATTGCTTATACAGTTTAAGAAGTACTTGTCAGAGTTAAAAAATTTATGTAATAAGTTAAGCTAGTTTCTTAAAATACTCCCACGTCATGTACATGCGCAACTTTCCAGTCATAATATTTTTCTGTGGTATCATTGGCTTTTGAAAAAATATATTAAATTTCAGTTAATTTAAATTAGATTACATCAATTTATTTAAAGAGAAAAACTTTAACAGTTTTTTAATTTACGTGACTCAAATTTGATATTTTATTTAAAAAAATCAAATTAATCACACTTAACCTAACAATTCTAAAAATATATGTTAGACTTGTAAAGAACGATAATGCTAGTTTTTATTCATTTATTTATTGTTTTGGATACATTTTATATTTGTTTCCTAAAATAGAAATCAGTTATCTCTAGCACCTATGCATGCAAGATACAGTGAAGAAAATAAAAATGGTAAAAGTTAACGGCGAAAAGGAAGCACAGAATTATATGGAAGCAAAATAATAAGGACGCTATTATTGTTGCTGAAAAATAATTCTATCAATATAATAATAGCCTACAAATATTCTTACTTATCATGTAAAGAAAAATAATAAATGCTTTTTACATTTTTAAATCATCTAATACAATAATTTTTATTAATACATATTTTATTAAGAAGATTATCTAAATAGCGAAGCAGAGAGATAAAATACCAAAAGGCAAAATAGAAAGCATAGTGGGGCCTGGCTTTATTATACCACTTTTAGGCATTGTTTGGGTGATGAACATGTTTAACTGTTGGATCGCAATCCTCCAACATCCACGCGGTCGAAAGACTTTATATTTCAAAAAATCTGAAACAATAATACAATAGGCAACGAGGCATTACCGACAGCGTGTACAATCTCACGCGCTTACTAGTTTCCTTGTCAACAGTTAAGTGGATCAAGTGGCCGTTGATGAAGGTAAAGATTGGCCACTGGTTTTAATGCCTCTTTATTGCACTTGTATCATAATAATAACATATTCAGCTTCTTGTCTTTTCCCACTTTCTTCTTTCCTTGCCACACATAACTTACTGATCCCCCCAGCCATTTGGAATAATATGGAAGCAAGTTAGCTCCATCCCTTCTCACCCTTTTGTTTTCCACATTGTACAAATAAAATTGTGGGGTGTTACTGTACGACAAAGATATTGAAGATGGGAATTTTCAGTACCATAGCAAGCTTTTTAGGATTTGGAGTCGGAACTTCACTTGGGCTGGTCATTGGTTACTATTTGTTCATATACTTCCAGCCAACAGATGTCAAGGCTAGTTTTTGTTGCTTATTTTTCTCTTAATTGTTCTTCTCATTTTTGGATTTCCTATGTGAATCGATTTCATCCTCCTTTGGTAGCTGAATTATGATTTATGATATTGCCAGGTATAGTTGTTAGTTATCCTCTATTAATTTTTGCTCTTAAGGTTGAACAAGCTAACTTCTGGTGATTACATTTTGTTGTTATTTATTATTTATTTATTTTATAAAGACTTATGGATGAGATTGAGCACTTCCTTGCTCAGGTGATTCATCTTGCCCCGAATATCACTTTTTTGCATGCATAAGCAGTAGGAGCATAATTCTATAGATTTCGTTGATAAAAGTAAAATGTGCTCCTTCATGGAATAGGAATTATATTTTGAAATGCTCATAAGGTTCACCTCATGCCTTGGTCTTGATGACTTTTACTGACGACTATTTTAGCCTGAAGTGAGATGTTGAAACATTAATAGTAGGTATAATCTGTTGCAATGAAAGTTCTATGTGAGGAAAACGCAGTAGTTGCTTTCAATTTAACTAAAATTGCTATTCTCTCGGTTACATCTTGGAAATCCATTTTTTCATTTTCTGTTCTGGACTTGATCTAGAAAGGACTTTTACAACATTGAATGGAATTTCAGAGAATGCTGAAACTCCATAGTGTAGAAAGAGGGGTATCTAAAGATGGGCAAAAATTGAAATTACATAAACAAAGGGCCAGATAGGTTTTTTCAGTGAAGTAAATAATATTGTATTGAAATACTTCTGCTCGACCTCATATGCTTTCATGTTAAATTACAAATTTCGAGTTGAATTTTGATAATTCTTTATTTATAAATTCAAAGGAAAGGTCATGCAGGGGAAATTGTGCTAGATTAGTTTAGTCAACTCATGGAAAAATGCATAGAATACTTTATATAGGACTCAGGTATTATTAATGAGAAAAAATGCAACTTAATTTCTATTACACACATGCATGTACTTGAGTATACATGAGCTGTGCATTCAATGATATGCTTTTGATAGATATTCCGCTTTCTTTTTTTTTTCCTTGTATTTAAAGTTAATTTAATTCAATTTATTATTTTGGAACAAGAAAAGAACTTGTTTTCTTTCTGGTTTTATTATTTTTTGAAGAGCTAAACCGATTCCAATTGATTTTTTTGATATTTTATCATTGGGAGTAGAAGTTAATAATTGCAGTCTGTTATTTTATTACCTTCTCTTTCAATTATTGTCTCACACTTCCAATCTATGGCATGCTTGATTTCAGGATCCAACAATTCAACCTTTGGTTGAACAAGATTCTAAAACTGTACAACGGTTGTTTCCAGAGATACCCTCTTGGATTAAAAACCCAGATTATGATAGGGTATGTTATTCTTTAAAGTTATAAGCCTTTGTAAAATGTTTACCTTGGAAACGAGAAATGCGTTGTAGGTTCTATGGAAAATTAATATTATTTTCTTGTTTGCAGCTTGACTGGCTTAATAAATTTATTGAGTACATGTGGCCTTATCTGGACAAGGTATGCACACTTTTTTATGATTTTCGAAATTGCTTGCGACATCTACGTGATTGTGTATTGTTCGTGCAAGTATCTTGGATAGCAATTTTCTAAGGGTACCAACTATTCAATCTTCATAGGCAATTTGCAAGACAGCAAGGACTATAGCAAAGCCCATTATTGCTGAGCAAATTCCGAAGTACAAAATTGATTCAGTTGAATTTGAAGAACTTAACTTGGGTACATTGCCACCAACCTTTCAAGGTTGAAATCTCTCTCTCTCTTTCTCTCTTCCACACCACACACACACACTCACAAACAATCACATGAGGATTATGAATGCGAAGCTGCTGTTCTGTACGACTCATTTTTTTTATCATGACCTCAATGCTTAAACAAGTATATGTTTAGTAGTTGACCAAGCACTGTCGGTTAAGTGTTTTTCATTCTCAAATTAATCATGAAAGAAAAATTACAGGAATAAAACGTTTTGTAGTTTTTAATATTCTAACTTTTAAGGAAGGCATTATTAACATGCTAATTAAGGCGGGTTGTTGTGATACATGTCTCTTGCTACTTGTGACATGCCATATGAAGCCTAACTTCCAATAATGAACATGATTGCGAATTATTTGAATCATATTTTGCATAAAAATTTTCTGCGTGATAGTTTGCTCAGATGCAACCAAGGAAATTATGTCAATTTAAACAGTAGTTTTATTTACACCTGAAAAATGATTAAAAGGGTAAGAGTGCTGCTAGAACAAGATTATGGTCAAATTCCAGTGTGTCCCTGGAATTCAGTTGACTTGACCATGCATCTGGTTTCTACAGTATTACAGAACTGTAAAATGAAATCATTGTCATTTCAGGTTTCATGGTTCCAGATTTTTTACACCTGATCCTTGATGACACTTTCAGCAAATATAAGTAGTTTAGACTTTAGACTGATTAACCTTTATCTTCATCTGAATATATGCCAGGAATGAAGGTCTACAGTACTGATGAAAAAGAGTTGATTATGGAACCATCAATAAAATGGGCTGGGAATCCTAATATTATAGTTGCAATTAAAGCATTTGGGCTGCGAGCAACAGTGCAGGTATATTAGTACCTTCATGACCTTTTGAAGAACGGGAAAAAAAAAAGGAAAATGTTTGGTTTAATTAATGTTCTTAGCTGTAAAAGGTTACAACTTACAAGTTAAATGCACCCACTTTGTTTCCATAATTGCAGGTTGTTGATCTGCAAGTATTTGCTGCTCCACGTATAACTCTGAAACCTTTGGTTCCAAGTTTTCCTTGTTTTGCCAATATTTACGTCTCTCTCATGGAGAAGGTGTGTATGATATGTCAAAATCCTTCCTTAATGACTAAATTTCATTGCAGTTCTTAGTGAGGACAAAGATTTCTGACGCTAAAACTGACATATTGATGACCAAAGGAATAATTTCACATTATGTTAAACCCACAATCCTAGTTAATGGAAACCATGTTAGCATTTATAGATGTAGCATACAAGCACAGCATCCATGTCACGCTTCCTGCATCATCCATCTTGCAATTATGTTCTTATCTTTTTCTTCCCCTTTTCTATCTTGAATCTCTTGATTGAAGCCACATGTTGATTTTGGACTAAAACTGCTTGGAGCTGATGCAATGTCTATTCCTGGTCTTTATAGGATTGTCCAGGTAGCATATCGTCCTATAAATTTTTCCTAATTGTTTATGGCTAGTCATTATTATGCTTATCAAGTTATGGTATATATTGATCTCTCATATTCACTTCCTTTCCTTTCAGGAAATTATTAAAGATCAAGTTGCAAAAATGTATCTGTGGCCTAAGGCCCTAGAGGTGCAAATAATGGATCCAGCAAAGTATGTATTGTTTCTTCCTTTTATCAAGTTCACAAGATTGTGTTTGCACTAGCTAATTGTGGTTGATTTGTGATCAGAGCCATGAAAGTGCCAGTTGGAATCCTTCATGTGAAGGTTGTGAGGGCAATGAAGGTTAGGAAGAAAGATCTATTGGGGGCATCAGACCCTTATGTAAAACTTAAACTCACAGATGATAAACTTCCTTCAAAGAAAACAACTGTGAAATACAAGAATTTGAATCCAGAATGGAATGAGGAATTCAATTTGGTCATCAAAGATCCCGAATCTCAAGTGTTAGAGCTTACTATTTATGACTGGGAGCAGGTATATAATATATCACTAAATATCTTCAGATGTAATTCTAGATTTGAAATTGAGTGTTATATCTTATATACAAACTGTGAGGACTAGAATATCTTCATTGCATAAAAGTTTCCTTTTACATAGTTTCAAGCATGATTTTTCTTTCTTTTTCCTAGATTGGCAAGCATGACAAGATGGGTATGAATGTGATTTCATTGAAAGAGCTTACACCTGATGAATCAAAAGTAGTTACTCTTAATTTACTCAAGACAATGGAGCCCAATGATGCTGAGAATAACAAGTCACGCGGGCAGCTCACTGTGGAAGTTTTGTACAAACCTTTCAAGGAGGATGAGTTACCTGATAATGTGAAGGACTCTGATGCAATAGAAAAGGCTCCTGAAGGAACACCTGCTAGTGGTGGTTTGCTTGTAATTATCATACATGAAGCTGAAGATGTGGAAGGAAAACACCACACAAATCCCTATGCACGACTGATTTTTAAAGGAGAAGAGAGAAAAACCAAGGTATTAATTATATATATTATTGTGATTATGATATAGATGCACCAAAAGGTTAAAAGAAGACTAATAGAAGCTCTAGTGAGATAAAAGGATTGCTGCAACTGTTGTTTTTAAGAATTTAATCATGTCTTTACCTTAGCGTGAAATTTGACAATTGATCAAACCATACAGCATGTAAAGAAAAATAGGGATCCAAGATGGGGTGAAACGTTTCAGTTTATGCTAGAGGAACCCCCCACCAATGAGAGGCTGTATGTTGAAGTGCAAAGTGCTTCCTCAAAGTTGGGCCTGCTGCATCCTAAGGTAACGAAAATAATCACACTCAATTCATGATACTAGTATTTAGAGAATGTTACTTCATTTTTAAAAACTTTTTGAAGAAACTGGAAAAAATAAACGATTTTTTTTTTTAAAAAAAAAAAGGAGCTAAAATAAGCACTTATTTAATTTCTACAATATGAAACTAGATTAATGATTTTAGATCATCTCATCCTGATCCTGAATCAGACTGTTCTACTCTTCATTTTTCTTCTAATCAGGAAAGTCTGGGTTATGTGGATATAAATTTATCCGATGTTGTTACCAACAAAAGAATCAACGAGAAATATCATCTCATTGATTCAAGAAATGGACGGATCCAAATTGAGCTTCAGTGGAGAACTCCCTGATGATGGGGGGCACCACATGCACACACAAATTCCCTCCGTACATAACTTTGCAAAGCACTATGAAACCTCTCAAACTTGATTCGCTCTTTCTGACACCAAGAAAAAAATTGTGAGTATGCTTTATTTGTAATTTGTTAAATAAACACTACAATGTGAATACTATGTAGTATCTTATGAGTTATGCTCCCTATTCGAGTTCTGTTAATATCTGTGTGAGTTATTAATTAACAACGCATAATTCCAAAAGAAAATAAGTTACCAGAAGTACATAATTAGTATTATTGTTATTGTTAGGTTGCAAACCACTCGCTGAAAAAATAAAGGGAACATTCAAATTTTTGGACCCAGAGTATGTTTTTACTAAATACACAAGAATATGTTCTGATCGTTCAAAAGATTTGCAAGAATAGATCTTTGCCTTTTATTTTCTTTGCATCCGCTTAAAACAACCTTTGTTCATTAGGTGCAACTGAGTTTAACCAAAATCAACTGAAAAACTGAATATACAATATGTTTGTCAAAAATTCACTTTCAGATAAAGTTAATTTCTTCAATAAAATATATCCATATGCAGGAAGCTTCGGAGGTTTTGTGTACTAAAGATCTTCCATCACTTTCTTTTTTGGATCAAAATTCAAAAGTGCATTTCACTGATCCTCAGTGCACAATGTTCTTACTTCATTGGGCCTTCTCTGAAATGGATGTCCCAACAGTGAGTTCTTAAGCTGCGTGGTCTCATAGCGGGCCTATAAATTCGAACTGTTCTAACCTTGCAGACAACATATTCAACGTTACAAATGAATTTTTCTGAGCTTCTTTTTCTTTCATAAAGTGAAAATGTCTAACTCTAGCCTAACAATCTTTTCTTTAGGTTTCTCTTCTCTTTAAAAATAAAATATCTTTTAATTAGCTTCTGTAAAAAACTCCTTAATTATTTTTCGAAAATTATATTTTACCCGACTTCTTCCTTTAAAGAGACGATAAGTTTAAAACAAAAAGTGAGTTAAAATTTCAAAGAAACTGAAAATAGTTTGTTAAGATTTCAAAGAAAAAAGAAACTAAAAGAAAATCGGGTTAAGCGTCACCATAAAAAGAGTGATTTCACTAATATTGACAAAACGATTTTATTCATTTTGTAATATTTTTAAGATGCAAAAAATAATAATGAAATCCTATAATTCCTTAATATTTTTATACATATTTTTAATGGAAAATAAAAGAAATTAACAACGAAGTAGACAGTATAAAATTTTTAAACACTTGATGTACAAAAGTGAAATAATATATACCTTGCCTTAATTTATATTTAATTATTTGTATTGTTATTGTGGAGCCTCCATGGACAATACTAGGACACGTAATGTGTCTTTTAAGGGAACATAAATTCGTTTAATTTAATGCAAACTACAAAATCGAATTAAACTAACTCAAGATAAAAATATCAAAAACCAAAAAAAAAAAAATTATTAGTTTGAATTAAATTTTATATTTAATTTTGAAAACTATTCTAATTATACATAAACCAAACTTTTATATATGATTTTGTTTATGAAATTAATTCATCTCTCATTTATATAGTTATATATTAATGAAAGTATAGTACTTGATTATTTGTATATTACTCTCAAAACTACATATTATTAATAATTATTAAAATTTAAATAATTTATTTTTTACACAAACACAATCTACTTCACTTGCTAAGGATCAAAACACAAGGTGCAAAACATTTAGAGCGCTTTTTAAATTTATTATAATAATTTTTTAAAAATTTACTTTATAAGTTATAATCATTTTATATTTCTTTATTTTTAAAAAAATCTGTTATTTAAATTCGTTAAAATTTAAGGAGATAAATCATATCTAAGAAAATTTTTATTCATTAATTATATTAATTTTCTTCTTTTTATAAGGAGTTCCAAAAAAACAAATTTGGTGTTATCTCTTCAAAAAAGCCTCTTAAAAATAAATTTCAAAAATCTGTATGATTCGCAGTCCATGTTTTACATTTGTTAGTGTACGAGATAATAAGGGCAATGCTTAAATCATGGAGAGAAATAAGAAAAACTAAAAAGTTAAGAGTTTCACTTTGTTCTGTTCATCACTAGACAATGTTAAATGGCTTTAAAGTATCAATTTGGAAAATGAGTTGATTACTCTATCATGCTTTGCTTTATTGGTAAAGAAACACAAGCAAGGTGATGTTTCCTTCTCAGTCAACTTTTATAAACTATTTTTTATTTCTCTCACTTTTAAAGATAAATATTTTTGATACTCAATGTTGTATTAATAAATTTGAGAAAATATTATATATATTTAAATTAATAGTTGTGATTTTTTATTTTTTTAATATTAAAAAATATTTACATTTTTTAAATAAACTATTAGTATTACTATTTATTTATATAAAATTAACAGTAATAATTATTATTATGTAAGAAGATATAAAATATTTTCTTAATTTACAACCCATTGTATAAATTATCAATCTTATTTAGCTTGAATCAAATAAAACTAAACACACAATTTTATATGAATTGATACACATGTTCTGTTATCCATTACCATTTCTTTCAAAAACTCGTATTTTATTCTATTTTTAAAGCTTTGTAATTGCATTTGAAATTTGCTTTACAGTTAGAAGCAGTGAAATGCGAAAAGTGGCAAAAATCAATAAGATTAAAACAAATTTTTAGTCTCTTACATGATATGAATAGGTTAGAATAATCTATTAATAACATTTTAATAGCAATTGAAATAAAATAAAAATAAGATAGAATAAAATAAAGTAAAACAAAATCAAAGATGTATTATTTTGATATTTGTATGGTGCTATAAAAAGGAGTACTTTCTTCTTATATCTTTAATTAAAACATGATACTGTGTTTTACACGTCACGTTTCTTATTTTCTTATTTTTAAAGGTACTGTGTATACAATATAAATAAAGATACAAGAGATTAATATTTTTTTAAAAATAATAAATGTCAACATGTAAAGATAATATATAAGATGAACAAAGTAGATATTTTCCTTTTATAATACAAGGGTATAAATATAATTAGCACTAACCCTAAGAAAGTCAATATAATTAACCATACAATTTATTAATACAATTATATATGTTAAAATTAATACTGAGAAATAGATTTTTCTAATTAATTTAACAATATTGAAATTAAGGGCTTATCTATATAAGCTTTGTAAAGGTAGTTTTATTGAGCCCATTTAACTGTTTAAGGGTATAGGACTTTGTTCAAATCGACTGCAATTTACACAATCTACATGATAGCTCAACCATATGTAATCCCAGTATAATAAAGAAATAAACACACAGAATCATGAACAACAAAAAAATATAAATTGTATATAATTTGTCATAGCGCCATTTTTCTCTTGTTGATATATCAGTTTTATTTTTTTTTGTCAAAATATATATTAATTATTATATGTATTATGTATTTTTAATTTGCTCCCTTTATGAAAAATAATATTTAATTTCATCTTGAATAGTAAATTTTTTTAAATAGTCTCTGATTTTTTTTCAAAAATTGGGAGCTAAATTAAAAATTATTTTATTTATAAGAATCAGATTAAAATTACATAACACATTAAAGATCAAACTAAATTTTCATAACACATTCAAGCACTAACCTATTAATAGTTGTTAATCATGTTAGTAAGAAGAAGACGAGGTTATAAAGCTGTTATAAAGGATCCAAAAGTTATAAATTATTTTAATAATCCTAAAGTATAAAAATTATATCAAAATTTATTTTTAAAAATGAAATTAAAATTATATGACACACATAATAATTAAATCCACATTTTAACTGGAAAAAAATAATGAAGAAGAAAGAACGATGAAGTCAAACGAACATGATAATAGCCTAATATTCACCTTGGACAACATTTGTCATTTTTATGATATTTTAAAAGTTACTCAAAGTAGTTTGTAAAAATATATAGATATAATCGATTTTTTTGAAAAAATAAAAACTTACCTAAACATCTTATGATATTTAAAAGTGGATTTTATTAAAGAAAAAAAGACCTTTCTGAAGTCCACTGTAGTTAACCTGGTCCCATTAACTCCGAACAACTTCTGGCGTGGCACGTGTTAATGTCCAACCTACGAACAAAGACTAAAAATTGAGAAAAACTGAAAAAAGAAATGAAAAAATCAGCACCAAATATTTCGAAGAAGTAAAACGTTGCTTCCTCACATTCCCTTCTGCTTTGAACATTCGCAGAAGACACAGAAACTCCAGCGCCAAACACTTCACGCAGATACACACAAACCCCAATTCCGACTCTGCGCGCAGAACATTCTAGAATTCTCCAGAACCTTTGAGAGTGGAGCTCCTCCTTTTCTGAGCTGAACTGGAGCTAGGGTTTCGATTTTATTGGCCAAGGTGAACCCCTCTCTCTCTCTCTCTCTCTTGATTATTTTTTTTCTCGATTCTTTTCTCGCGCTTACTCTTTGTTCCTTTTAAGGGATTTACGTTTTTCGTAACGTATCTCAGCGTTTTCATTATGACAAGTTGCGTTTTAACTTTTTTCCTCTTTGCATTTCGATTCACCTCTGAAACTTTTAAATTTTAGGGGTTTTCCACATCTTCTATCAAACGTTGAATTTAGGGTTTTGAGAATTTATGCTCTACTCTTTGTTGAAATTAAGGATTCATGCTCATTTTTTTTTTCTTTTTCTTCTTTTTTTGGACCATTTAAATGGTTTCAAAGTGGATTTGTTCGTAATCGTAATTTTTTATTTTAATTGCATTTGCTGTGGGAGATTATGATTTTAGTTCTGAATTTGGCCGTTGCAATGATAAAGCAATATTGATTCAGTGATCGTGATGGGAAAGTTACAACATAAGTGTGACTTTGTACCAGTTCTTGAAGTGACTGCTAATCTTATTATTGATAGATTTAGGTTTAGTTGTTTTATCACTCTTCTAGAGAGGACTTGATTTATCCCATGTAATTTAAAGTAGGTAGTTTGTAAGTGAGAGCCCCTAGGTTTGCCCAATCTGTTTAAATATTTCTCTGAATTGCTCATCCTACATCGTTCAGGAAAACATTATAGAAAGCCTAGTTCTGGTCTGCAACATGGATTATTTTTATTTTTATTTTGTGCAATTTTGTGTGAAAATTTAAAATATCACTGGTGGACTTTGGTGGGAAAAATATTATGTTATGTTTAGATTCAGATATGCTAGATATGGGGTTATAGATATCTTTCCTTTTGTTGACTTTATTGTTGTTATCATTTGCCTCAAGAATTTCAAATGATGTATGAAATGGGCTATAATGTTCTTGTTTGTTAAATTTCATGAAACTTTCACCCTTTATAATCGAGTTAGTGGTATTATTATGGTGAACATAAGATTTCTCTTGTTAGAGAAAAGATATATACCCAATGAATGGAAATGATGTACTTGACCTTTCATGTTAAATGGACAGAACATTAAGGCTTTCCAAATGCATTTTTATTATTTCCTCTCTTATTAATTTAGACCTGTTTAAAAGCAATGATATGGAAATCAAAAAGTAAAACACAAAAAACTGTTGGGTGGGAGCAAAATTCTACAGTAAATTGAAATAAGCAAAACAAAGATGTTTCCTCATTGTACATTTCACACTGCTTTTTTGGACATCATATCTTCCAGACAGATTTAGGGAAATACATATATTTAATGTGACTCGTTGTTGAACAAAAATGGAGCTCTAAGTAGCTGTACGACTTGTTTGTTTTTAGTGTATTTGTATGATAAGTCTTGAAGTTGATGTTATATACTAAATTGGATTTTTGAAAGGATGGGTTTTTACCCTGTAACTAGTTATTAATGAGGTTGACTTTATGATTAAAAATGTTGTAACCATGGAAGTTACATTAAATTGCTTTGAATGTGCATGTCAGTGCATCGCGATTGACAGAGATTTGTTCCTGCATTTGTTGGTCCTAGTCAAATTGGTCCCTGTTGGAAAATGTTACTAACGTTGTTCTTGTGCAAAAAAGAAAAAATTATAGTGATGGGGCATTTGGTGCAATCCTATGTGGAGTGATACTGATATGGGATTCATTAATTGTGTTATTAGAACTAAGAGTTTGCAGTTTGGCTGGCCAGCCCTCTTTTTTTATTGTCGGGATGGATATGGAAATGGATTATGGCTTATTTCTTGAACTTTCTATTTGGAGTTATATCTCTGAATCAAAAGTAAAATACAAACTTACTTTTCCTTTGCCAGTAGCCTTACTATATTGGGAACTGTTCAAACTGCTACTTTGTATCTTATATCTATTGAATATTGTAGCAACAAAAGTTATAAATCTGTGTTTTGGTATATCCATTGGATGTTTTTTCAATGATATTGTACCTTATTGTTGCCATAAACATGGAAATCAATATTTGTTTGCTCTGATATTTTGTTATAAATCTGTGTGAAGTTCCTCAAATACTTAGGAAATATTAAACTTCTCAAATAATTTTCCACACAAGCTTATTTACTTTGTTATTATATTTTGCAGTGCATGCTCTTGAAGTTCTTTTACCTGGGATCTGAATAAATTTCTTAATGGGAGAAAAAGTTATGGCATATCAAAAGGGCTGCCTTGATGCTTTGAGAGAGGTTATGTGAAGCAGTATGACTCTTGAAGATTTTTTTACGTTGACTGAAATGAAAGATGGGCTCACAGCCCCTTCTCGAGTACAGGAGTTGGTTTCTGTAATGCAGAATGAGCAAGATTGTGTAGTTAAGAATGCTGGTGATGCAACAAGGCAGTGGGCTGCTGTTGCAAGCACCATTGCTGCTACAGAGAATAAAGATTGTCTTGATCTTTTTATTCAATTAGATGGACTTTGGTACATCAATAGGTGGTTAAATGACGCTCAGAATTTGGGTACTGATACAAATGATGGCTTCATTGAAGAGTCAATTACTGCAATGTTGCGAGCAGTTGAAAAACTATATCTAGACAGGGAGAAGTCAATTTCATCTGGAATTCGGGTAACTGTAAGTAAACTTCTTGGCCATCATAGCTCCAAGGTTCAGGATAGAGCAAGAGTATTATTTGACAGCTGGAAAGGAGACAGGGATGGAGAGGCTGAACCTCATGATGATACAAATCTTGGTAGAATCAACAGTGTGAGTGATAAGATTGTTGGGCTGGAAGGCCAGCCATCTTCTGTGAATGAAGCCGGCAATGCCGATGATCACGCATCTCGACTTACTGGAGGTGAGAAGACTCAATTGAGAAACTGTGATAGTCAGCTACATGAAAAAGTTTCAACCATGCAGATAGAAAGTTTGGACAATGCACTCCAGCCCTCTGTAAGTTTGGATTGTGAAGATATCAAAGAGAGATCAAACCATGTTGATAGTGTTTTGATATCTGTTCAAGAAGTTGCTACCATGAATGAAGGTGAGGACACATTGGCTGGGACATGTAACTTACCTGTTACTAAACAAGGCAGTTTCAAAGGTCAACTAGATGACATACGGTTAAATGAATCATCCAAAAAGGAGAAGCAAAATCAAAATGTTAATGGTCCTCCTGAAGAGTTAGGAGCACCAGATATCTCTTCAGCATCTGCAAAGCTGGAGCCTGAACCTGTTTCCGTTGGTGATATTAAAGCAAAAGTGCTGGAATCTGTGAAAGAACCTGTTTTAGAACATAATGTTGAAAGCAATGAAGATGTTTGTCATAAAGTAATTGATTCTGGTAGCACGAGATCACCTGCATCTGATGGGACAAGTGGGGGGAATGATGTCAGAGCTATAAATTCAAGCAATCCACAAATTTTGAAAGCATTAGAAAATGATGATGACCATTGTTCTAATGCATTACAGGACTCATCAGTCAGTGGCAGTAACTTGGAAAAGCCTGACATGTTGGAGATGTCTTTCCCCAAAGCAGAATATGTTAGAGCAGTAAAGGAAGACAAGGATCGTGTTTCTGATCAAGGTGATGATACCTCAAATGGTTCTGCTTCTTTTAAATGGGGTAAAGGTCCGAGAAGCCCTAACATTATTGACAAGAGTTCTGACATGGAGCTTGAGTATGGTATTGTTGATGCTTTAGAACTCGCTCGACAAGTTGCCCAAGAAGTTGAGAGAGAATATGTCACAGTAAAGGAAGGGAAGGACCAGGTTTCTAATCAAGGCGACAACACCACAAATGGTTCTGATTCTTTTAAGCGGGGAAAAGGTTCCAGAAGCCCTAATGTTATTGACAAGAGTTCTGATATTGAACTTGAATATGGTATAGTTGATGCTTTAGAAGTCGCTCGACAAGTTGCTCAAGAGGTTGAGAGAGAAGTTTGCAGCTCTTCTTCAGAGAAAATCTCCGAAGGGGGAATCAGGCAGGCAGGCAGCCATGATAAGGATGAACTCACTCATGTCCTACCTGAGGAGGTATCATCCAGGCAAAGCAATTCTACTGAAGCATGTTCTGTAGAGGAGGGGCATATGAGTGTTTCAGATAATATTGAGGCTGGGCCACAATGCATACCTGACTTGGAGTCCTCACAGGTGACTGAAGCAGCTCAAGATGCAGGAGATAATTCAGAGAAAAGCCTCTGTACCTTTGATCTCAATCTCAATGAAGTTGGTTCTGATGATATGGATGTTTCTGTAAATGCTATGTCTACTGCACCAATACCTGTTGTCTCTGCTTCAAAACTTGCACAGATTTCTGGCTTCCCCCCAGCCCCTTTGCAGTTTGAGGGGACCCTTGGGTGGAAAGGATCAGCTGCCACCAGTGCCTTTCGTCCTGCATCACCTCGCAAAAATTCTGATAACGAGAAAAATGTTTCTGTTGGTGGAAACTCTAATATTTCCAAGCAGAGGCAGGGTTGCCTTGACATTGATCTGAATGTGGCTGAGGGTGAAGAAGGATTGGTAAAACAAATTGGTGAATCTTCAGGCCTTCCTTCTGGGCAATCATCCGTGGAACTTAGTCCTAAAAGGTCAAGCAGGTTCGATTTGGATTTAAACAGTATTGGTGATGATGGTGATGCCCAACCCTCAGATCAGCGGATGGAGGGGCAGCTCTTTTCTGGAAGAAATGGCTATTGGAGCCCCTCACCTGCATCATCGTCATCATCAATGCAACCTTCAGTTCGAAACATTGATTTGAATGACAGACCATACTTCCAAACTGATTTGGTGGAGCAAGGGCATAGCAAGTCATCTTCAATTATTGAAGCAAATAAACTTTCTAAATCAGATGCTCCTGTGATCTCTCTTTTGGGGGCCAAGGTGGAAGTTGGTAGAAGAGAATATGTTCCTCAAAATTGGTCTTTGCCAAATGGCAAGGCTATTGAGCCTTCAATGGATCTTACAATGTCAGGAGGTGGTGGCATTTTGGGAATGGGCCCCACAGTATCCTACAATCGTTCAAGTGTTTTTGGGTATAATGGACTGACACCAGCTCCTGGTTTGTCTTTTTCGTCAGCCATGTATGGGTCATCTGGTGGCACAATTCCGTGCATGGTGGACTCAAGAGGAGCTCCAGTTGTGCCTCAAGTGGGGGGATCATCCTCAACCGACCTGTCATCTTATACTCAGCCTCCATTTATCATGAGCATGGCTGGTACACAACTTGGTTTAAATGGAGTTGGATCTTCACGTCCCAACTTTGATCTAAACTCTGGCTTCGTGATTGATGGTGGGAATAGAGACGCATTGGCTGCAAGGCAATTTTTCTTTCCTGCTCAAGGTAGAGGAGCTATGGAGGAGCATGTAAGGACCTTTCCACAATCCTCAAGTTCTGGAGTTGGTGTGAAAAGAAAAGAACCGGACGGTGGCTGGGAAACCTATCCGTTCAGCTACAAAAATCAGCAACCTCCATGGAAGTAGCCCAAATTTATGCTTTTGTCTCTTCATCTGTTCTCAGATACAGCCTACCGATTGATGTGCTTTTATTATTACTCAAGTTAATCCTGAAGAGTGGGCCAATCCATTGGAATCCTTTGATAAGACGAACCAGAACTCAATAAAAGGCAGAGGATCGTGGATGTAATATTATTCATGATATTAATTGGCAAAGGGGGGGAATTAGTTTTTTTAATCTTTCTTTTTCTGTTTTTCCTTTCCTGCAGTTTCATAGAAAGTCAGTAGCTGTAATTTCTCTTTCATATGTCAAAGAAATTATAGTCATAGTATCGTGTTTCTCACTGTAAGTGGTACTTGAGTACATGGCCACAAATTTAGTTGATTTAGTGAGTTTTCATCATCAAGTAATAACCTGTAAAGAGAAAGCGTTGTGTTCAAAACTTTTCCGCTTACATAAAATACAGTCTAACCGATACAAGTTGTCTTTCGTCAAATCATGCTCTTAGTTATGTCTTTGGCTTCATTTTGAATGACGTTTATTAGCCCCAATTTCCCAATTTGTGCATGACTGATCCCTAGACTAAATATGTTTTCTTTGACAGCTGCAACCTCATCCTGTGCTAGATTCATCAGCTGTTATTGTCAGAAACAAGGCGTATATTACCCATCGTGGGATTGTCTTTGGATTAATGGTAGCATTTTGCATTTTAAAGTGGCCTCAACCTTGGTGATGATGATTAGTTTTGTGGGTGAGTGAATTTACTGCAACAGTCGTCTATATATGTCCAAAGCGTACAAATTAATCATTGCCCTTGAAATTGTGATCAGCAACTGTTCTGGAAAGGATACAACTTGTGCATTCTGACTGAATCCTTAGTGTATTAATTTCTGTGATGTAAACTAATTCGGGGGTTTGGAGTTCATTTTGCAAAGATGGGCAACAAGATTTCATTTTGCAAAGGATTGTAAAGGTTGAATGAATTCATTTATCTATGTGATTCTACCAAAATTAATAGCGTTCTTATATTTATGCAACTTCTTCATTTTTTTAATAACCTAATTAGTACGAATTAAAATAGAAATTTCAAGTTAATCTATACAAACATATTTGGATAATAGTTAATTTGAGAAAAATAATTTTTTAAAACATTTTAAATATTACAAAAGAAAATTTTAAGATAAACTAATTCAAACACTCAGTTTTCAAAATTTCACTCAAATGCAGATAAACAGTTTTTATTTCGGGTAAAATCCGGGGCCAGAAGCCTAACAAATCAAAACAGTGATTAAAGTCAACCAAAAGAAAGTTACTGGAAAGTCAATACCAAAAAAATTACATGTTCGAGTATCTCGTCTAAGAATGAATCAACGAAAACATGCAAACCCAGACCTATTTATGTTGAGAGGCGATGTTTCTGAATATTACAATATTTCTTGACAATTGCTAACTTAGACCAAGCTCGCAGAAAAAGATAAAAAAACAACTTGGCTCTGTTTGTGTTGGGGGTTGAAAATTAAAGTTCCCAACACAAATGCAAATCAAACAAATTTTGGTAATTTATTTGTGCATATGCGTCCACCTTTGTTATTTATCGAGTGTATTGACAAATACTTGCTATTAGAAAAGATAATAATTTTGGTATAAGTTAATGTAAAAGGAAAATACACTCACTTATTTGTATGTTGACATATCATCTAATGAAATTGACAATGTCTACAATTAAAGGAAATGTTAAATTTATTAAGTAGTGTAACAACGCATAATTAGATATAAATGTAAGGAAGATAATAGTGTGTGATGCTTGAGCTGTCGGGTTCCGAACACTATAATTTTTTGGGTTTTGTTGACAAATGAATAAATAATATTGATTAAGAAATTACTTATGGCTAAACTGATGTACCGCAACACGAATACAAATAGCCAAAATTCATGATGATACATCAAAATTGAATTACAAAATTAAAAACATAGTTATTGACTTGAAAATTCTTCCTTAATTAAAAAATCCAGTATGTTATCAATTGTCATGGCTCACCATTTATTATATTACGAGAAAAGGGCATTCCAAATTTTATTTAGCTTAATCTTTATTTAAGGTTTTTATTTTATGATCTCCCAAACAAATTCTCACCTATTACAAAAAGAATCTTTAAGTGTTAAAATGAATTGAATTCCATAGATGAATTTAAAGAATTTAATAAAACGTTTAACTTAGGTTAAAAGATCTGCAGTAGAAACATTTGTTAACTTAATCTCATGATCAGTATAGGGCTCGAAATGAACTGAATCAATTCAAAATTAATTAGATACTAGACTTATGAATTGGCTCAATAAACTTGGTTCATGAACTAAATGAACTGAGCTTGAAGTGAACATTAATCTTGTTAAATTAATTAAACGAGCTAAATTTGAGACAAATATAATTTAATTCATTTGGATCATGAGATGGTGAAAGGTAGAGAAGTTAATGCATTTACATTTAAGAAACATTTATGTCTGCGTGTCTATGTAACTTAGGTTTTAATTTATATTAACTTGAACTCACTAGTTAAACCGAATATTTTGCAAACTTCAATTAAGATGAATTTGCTTGAAATAATAATAATAATAATAATAATAATACATGTAAAGCTCAATTGTTCAAATCGATCAAATTTCTACTAAGTTGAGCTATGTCAAGTTCCACTCAACAACTCTACTAATTTCCAACCTTAATTTCCTAATTCATGACAATTTGTAAACTTTTTGAAAAAAAAAATATCTTGAAAATTTGTAATATAAACAAATTAATTAAATTATCTAAAATTAATATTTTAATTTTAAAATGATTAAATAAATACAGGCGAAGAAATCTGACCAAATAATACGTAATATTATAAAATGGAGTTGGGTTAATAATAAATGAACCTGATAAATACATGATTGGTCGTGGCGCAACCAGAATTACCGAAATGGCTGCTCTGTCCTTGAAACCTTATTCATAAACGTAAAATGTCACCTAGCCTGTGCGCACTATCAACTCACCAACTCATCACTGACTCTGACCCTCATTATGCCAGTGACTTGGTCACTATTACTCTATGAGTCTTTGCTGTTGTATTTGTCAAATACTCACCAAAAAAAAGAACCAAACCCTATTGGAATCCACATCTTTCCTCGAGACCAATTCAACACCTAACATTGCACCTCTCGCTAGTGCTAGCTGATGGATCCAAATCTAATACGTTGAGTAAAGACAACTCACAGGTAGTTACAATATGGGGTAATGCTACTTTTGTTTTTGTGTACTTATCTTTAAGGGTCTTGAACAAAATCAAAGTAGAAAGCATTCATCACTGAGGACAAATTTTAAATCAACTTTAACTATAATTAATAGTAAGTTTAAAAAAATATCCTGCTAAGATTTTTCTTTTGGCTCATTAGTTGTACGAAAATTTATTAAAATATACACATTTATTTAAAAATTGAATGCATTTAATAAACATTTATTATTATTAGACTATACTCTCAAATTTTTTTATAAGAAAAAAAAGGTTAAATTACTAGTTACAAGAAAAACAATTAAATTAATTATATTTTTATAAATATAATTTTTATTTCAAAATATGGAATTAGTGTATGTCTCGTAGACATACGTTTAATAATAACAATAACTTATAATTAAGATTTAGAAAACTCCATCTGGTTCCTTCCTTGTAAAAGGAAGGGAGAAAGTATTAAATATTGTGAAAAATAGTGTTTCAATAAATTTTGTATTATCTAATTAATGCCATTAAGATACGGGTTAATTTTAATTTCACTTTAAATATTTACAAAATGGCAAGTATCATTGCCAAAAAAAGTCATTACTCTAGAAATTACCACACAATAGTCCTCCTTCACCAACCCCCTTTGTTTTCAACTAAAGTCCTTTCTCTCCACTTTCCTCATTACCTTCCCTTCACATCAGTGTCCACAAGACCCTGTTCTCTCCAAACCCCAAACCTGGCAAATTCGAAGATCAAGCAAAAACCAATGTACATCTCCTTTCCATTATAAAAAAAATTAACAATACATTATATTTATTTATTCACATAAACCCTCCCCGGCTCCTCTAACCACGATTACCATATATTACAAAGTATACACACATATATATATAACTAACTATATCATCCTCTCATCCCAAATCATCTCGTGCCCTTCTCAAAAACTTGGTAAAGTTAAGGCAGCATAAACCTAACTACCCCAAAAAAAAGTGAAAACAAAATTAACTAAACTAAACCCTCTCTTTTTTTTTTTCCTTCTTTCGCTTATATTCTCTGTTTATGATGATATAGAAAAACAAGGAGAAGATGGGTTACAAAGTAGTATAAGGAAGATGCTGGGGGAGTCTGAAGCGGACCTGTGACGCCGGCGAGCGCACCGCCACGCCGTGCCAGCAGATGCCACCCTTGCAAACCTCGTGGACATGCGGCGGAGGCTGCGGAGGATGATCGCCGGCGAATGCATAAGTGGCCTTACGCGAGACGTCCCACGTTAAGGTCGACACCAAAATCAGCGCCACCACGGCGGTGGACACAACCAGCACAAACCCACCGCCGAAGCTGCGCCCACACAGGAACCCATACGCCTTAATACAGGCTATTACTGCCACATAGATGGATGTAAGGTTACTCACCACAGCATCGGAAACTGCCATAGGCAAAGAGGAGAGAGAGGGAGAGAGAGAGAGAGAGGGGGGGGGTGGTTTGGGTTCGATCTGGATGTGGATGTGTATGTAGCTTTAATGCTTCGTCTTGGGAATGTTCAGGGTTTTTAATTATGAATCTCGATGCGTGAAATTACCAAAATGGGTCCCTCCCTTGTATAATATCTCAGGGTATCGTTACCACATCGTGCTTATCTTCTTCTTCACTTCCAATCCAAACAATTTCTTATGTTGTGTACTCACCCGCCGATTTTTGTAACTCCAAGGGGATAACGCCACGTGTCCTCTTTCTCTGACGTGGCTCTTCTCCATTTTGCTCTTTTCTTTTCTTTTTAATTGGCTTTCCATGCCGTTTCTCTTCCCTTTCACCCTTTTTCATCTTGTCCTCTTTTATTTATCTTTATTCTTATCACAACACCGTCACAATTGTTTTATATGTTAACACAACCTACAATTACCCAGCGTGTAGACAACATATGCTTTTTAACATATTTTGTACGGATGATGCTAACAATCTTCGCATTGTACTACCGACTACAAAGATACATAAAAAAGAAAAATTATTAGTTGTTAAGTGATCAAAATTATTGTACAATAGATGCGAATTTTACTTTTTTTTATATGTACTGAAATTGAGATAAATTTTAATTAACGATAAAAAAATGTGTTATGAAATTATACAAGAGATGCGTTATTATAGTAACCGAGTTGCACCGAGATATGAGACACGGAGGGGGCATGGCACTACGTAGCGTAATGGCGTCGCATTATTAATTAATGTTGTGTTGAGTTGGGAGACTCGGAGAACACCGTCACCGTCAGTGGCTGGTCGTGAACCACCTTTCCTCTTAATGGCTGACGATAATGCCTTATATTCATCGTTCCAAATTTCGAGATTCATGGAGTGCTCATTTATGTTCTCACACTCAACTTGTCTCACAAGTCCATGGCTTCATTGTTCGGTCAAAAGTTTGGAGCGTTTAACAAGACCCGCTGTTGACCGAAATAGAAAAACAAAGTTGAGCAAAACCCATTCAACTTTTGTACTAAGCATCCGCTTTAGCGTTTCTATCACGAGGAGTTCAAATGATCCATCACTGGACGAGCGCTTTTGATTATACTTTTTAACAAAAATATACATATACATTCTAATGAAACACGTATGTTGATTATATTCAACAGTTTTAAATTAATTTTATTCGGTTATAAAAAAATGGACTCTGAATACTTATTTGATTTACTATTTTGAGGAACTGTGTCTCCATTACTAAACCGGCTTTGAATTTGCACAAAGGTACTAGTTTTGTGAATATATATGTTTTTTGTTAATACCTTTTTATAATCTGAATTGAGCTTTTTGTCATTACAATTGTTCATAATATTATGTTCTCGAAGACTGCACTAGTAAAAGAAAATGTCTTAATTAGCTTAGTTTAAGAGATCAAAGAGTGATGTCTTCCTCACTTAGCCTTGTGTGAATTTACAATAGTGGTGCATTGTATATATATATATATTGAATCTGGGTGTTAAAATGGTCGGGAACATTGTGGGACTCCTATAACTTTGTTGATTTACCGATACTATATTTTTATTAAAATATTTTTAAGTATAGAGTAAAATTTGTTTAAAAATAAAATAAACAAAACACATTAAATTAAAAAAATAAGATCTATATAAATTTTAATTAAAAACAAAAATATAATTAAAAAATATAGTAAAGAATGTGTTATTAAATAAGTGTAAGAATAAGATGAATTATGTTAGTGAGAGTAGGTAAGAATTTAGTTATCCACAGTTAGACGAATTATGCATGAAATGAATAACGAATGATAAGATGGATTGTACTTAAATGGGTAAACTAATTTTTAAATTTCTTAATCAATATTATCTAAATGATACAAATTATTATATTTTTAATAAAAATTTTATATTAAGAAAAATGTATTCTTCTATGTAAGGTGTAAAAATTAATACATCATCAACTTCAGCAAAAATATATAGTGAAATTACATATAAGTTACCTTAAAATTGAACAGTGCTAATTTGCAAGAACGGAAGACCTATAGTCAACCCCATGGACTGCTATGCTTAACGAAAGTCAATAACACATCTTGGAATATTTCTTTCAAACTTGGCGAGCCAAACACAGGAGAATAATCCTACCTTTTATTCTTACAAATCCTCTTAATTGAAAAAATATTTAATATACTTTATATTTTTAATATAATAATAAAAATATATTTTTTAGTTAATTCTTTAAAAATAATAATAAAGTTATTAAAAAGGTTATTGAAGTATATACAAAGCTCTCCACATATATATTCTGGTGGCCTTGTGCGTTAAACGGTAAACATCAAATCGGGGAAAATGTTATTGATTAATTTATAATGAATTTTTCAATCAGTTCAACCTTGCACAAAATAAATTCTAATAAATATATTATTTAATTAATAAAAAGAGAATAATTTTTTTAAAAAATTATAATAAAATAATTAATATAAATTTATTAAAGTTTATCTCGTATAAAGTTGTACAGATTAAAAAATTTTAAGTTACAATTATCACAGCAATTAATATTTATTAGTATGTTTGTGTGTCTAATCTTTATAATAAATTTGAGGAATATTACCTGCATGGTGTAGGACTAACTTTGGATTACGATGGTCCAACTTCATTTTGTTATATTCTTCAATAAATTAATTGATACAGAAAAAATAGAAACGATTTTGACTTTGGACCGGTCGCTCATTCTGGGACGTGGATCACCATATATGGCGATCAATTATAGGTTCATCAAATATAAGATTTTTCCAATGTAGTTAAACATGAATCACCTTAATCATATGAATTATTGTTTTTTTTTAATGCTGAATTTATTTTATAAATATATTAAGTGGCTTATTAGAATTGATGTCCCAACTTATTTTCAGCATATTATAAAACAATTTATAACAAAGAACCTAAATTTAGGCTTTTTACAGAGGAATATTTAATTAACACTAGTTTAAGGTCTAATCTTTTTCAAAAGCTTATTTGTTTGGTACACTGTTTTAATCTATATTATTTACTATTTACTTTTTTTAATTAGAAGCGGAAATATATTATTTGGCTTATTGTGATTTATGACCTAACTTATTGTCAACCTACCGAAAACAATTTATTTAACAACCTAAATTTAGGCTCTTTAGAAAGGGTTCTTTAATTAACATTAGCTTAAGGACTAATCGTTTTAAAAAGTGTATGTTTGGTATAATATGTTGATCCATACTATTTAATATTTTAATATACAATTAAGAGTTTGTATACTACATAAGTTATTATTTGACTTTATATTTCTTTTAAAAGAAAAGTCACTCAAGTTATTTTTAATTACTTAAAAGCCTTTCTAAAATATGTCTTTTCAAGTAGTAATTTATTTTGAATAAAAGTTATCAAAGATAGTTTTTTCTTTTTCAAACTATAATTTAGAGTCTTCCATAAGAAATCCAAACAAGTTAAGTTTCAACGTATACAATTTTTGTTTTATCTATTATAGTTAGTTGTTGGTGTTCATTGATCTCAACTAATATTAAAGGAGAGAATAAAAAGAAAATAAAGGAAAATGGTAAAAAAAGAGGTAGGGAAAAAGGTTAAAGATTAAGAAAAAAATGTTAATTATATGTCGTGTGTAATTATTTATCGTGAATATTTTTAGTTTATTTAGTTTCTCTTGTTTAGAGATGGCAATGGGTAAGGTACTATAATATCCATCTCCATACTCGCGTTTTAAAAAAATATTCGTATCTAGCCCTATACTCGCGTGTGTATGAACATTAATTCTGTACTCGTACCCTCTAGGTACCCGCATACTCATCTTGTACCCATTACCCGCGTTTATTTGAGAAAAATATATTTATAAAAAAATGTGTTTATATAACTTCACATAAGTAACATAATAATACAAAAATTCACAATATGTAGTTGTCGAACAAGGTAAAACTATAGATAAAAAGTAAATATTCAAATATCACAAGTGCTAAATATGTCTTAATACAATAATTTTTTAAACTAAAATTCTTAGAAACAATAAGCGAAATTAAACATACAAGTTATTTGTCGGCGATAACCCTATCTTGTGTGAGATTCGATCGATCGACAATGTCAGAGCAACAACAAAATAGATCTGCACAATGAGTGGTCCTTCGTGTGGGATCCCTTGGTGACCTCTTGTGACGACATTGGCAACAAACTCTAATGAATAACGTTTTGTGAATACCAATTTTTGCATCTCTGGGATGACCTCCAAATTTTTTTTAAATTTATAAAAATAAAATAAAATTATTTTACAGACAAATGGAAAATTTTGAAAAAAAAATAGACCGGATCATGTAAATGAAAGCCTTACACCGTTCAGACTTACACTACAATTTCAAAACTGCCTCCATACATGAGAGAGGAAAACTCAAAACTTTGGCATTTTGTAAAAAACCCTAAAACGTAAGATGAAAAGGGGTATAAAAACTCAAGTAAGAAATTCAAAAAGGGAGGATTTTTTTTCTAAAAATTTTTTTCAGAGAGGAGGTAACAAGCTTTCAAGTAGAAAAAAAAAATTTAGAGGGGGTAGCAACAAAGTTTTTTAGAAGGAGGGTCATAGTTTTAAAAAGGAAGAATGAAGAAAGAGAGAAAAAGAAAAAAAAAATTTAAGTGTTTCATGGAGGAAAGGGAATAACACAACTAAAAAATAAACAAAAAGAGAAAAGCAAAATCAGAAGCCAAAAGAGAAAGAAGAAATCATAGTCACCATTTCAACCATTTACCAGCCTTCATTGTTGCTTCAATCTAAACTTTTTTCAACGTATGTACTGTCAAGGTATTATTTTTATTGATAAACTCATGTTTATAAAACCATGCCTTGAGGCTTCGTAAAATGAAGGATGCAAAATAAAGCTTGAATAGTAAAGAATGAGAGATACGTAGGGATGACAATGGGTAGAGTATGGGTAGGGTACTACAGTACCCATCCCCATACCCACATTTTAAAAAAATACCCGTACCCGGCCCCATACTCGCGTGGGTATGAA